AATATGACTTTCATAACCCAGATACACACTTTTATAGCATGTCTTAAAAGAAAGGACACTACATTGAGCCAGGCATGATGGCTCATGCCTGCAATCCCAGCACTCAGGAGGCTGAGGCTGGAGGATCGCCGTGAGTTCAAGGCCAGCCTGGGCTACACAGCAAGACCCTGCCACACACAAAAAAGGAAACTTCTTTAACAGTAAAATACTGTTAGGCCAGGTGAAGTGATATACTCCTATAATCCCAGCCCTCTGGGAGGCTAAGGCAGGAGGATCACAAGTTTGAACCCAGCCTGGATAACTTAGTGATATAGCAAGACCCTGCCTTAAAATAAAAAATTTTAAAAGGGCCAGGGATATAGCTCGGTGCAAAGGTACTCAGTCCCAGTACCACCACCCCCCAAAAAACCAAACCAAACAAAAAACCTAAGAATTACAGAGACTAAATGTGAACTATCTGTGCCTATTAAGAAAATATATAGGGCCAGGGATTTAGCCCAGTGGTTCCGCCACCTGCCTCCCAAGCACAAGGTCCTTAGTTTAATCCCCGGTACCGAAAAAAAAAAAAAGAAATAGTTATTAGACCCAATTCCATGCTAGTACTGTGCTTGGCAGTAGCACAAAATGAGGACAAAAATAGGTATTGTCCCAAATGCCTTCATTTCCTTTCCATTCCATTCCAATACTACTTCTAAAATATGCAACCTAACTCAACCAAAATCAACTTGAAACAGTCTCAAAATGATACATAGTAACTGCGGTCATTTCAGTAAAGTGAAAATTTCTTTAGTAATTCATTCTAGGTTGCTATGGGAAATATATAGTTTGTACAGCATTATAGACACTTAAAAGCAGGGAATCAGGAACTGTACCTGGGCTTGAATCCAGGTTGTACCATTTGCTACCTATGTGATCCTAGGGAAACCTCCATTTCCTCACCTGTAAAATGGAGGCAGAATAATAGTAGTTATTAATATTAAATACTAATATCAAACAAGATTAAGGAAGATCCTATGTGTAAAAAAGGCTTAGCACTATATACAATGAACAATGTTAAACTGCTGTTGTTATTAACAGCAGATAACTCTCAAGTACAAAAACTGTTCGTAAGTTGCCAAACATTTAATCTATGTATCTATGTCATTTTTTAAAACAATTATTTTTATTGACGTAAACTTGTATATAAACACATAAAAATACAGTTGAGTATAAAAGTCCATGATTAACTTTTGAACACATCAGTCATTTATAATATTTATATTATACACAAATGTATCAGTGTATATTGTCAAGAACAAGCTACTGTATAAACATGTCTTAACACTTCCCTTCCAAGAACTTCTCTACTGGAGGCACGGTGGATTGCTAATTCTTTGGTTCATTTTTATTCTACCTCAGATATTATTTAAAACCTTATTAATATTACTACTATTAGCATGATATAGACAAATAAATTCAGACATTATTATCTGGGCTGGCAGTATAACTCAGTGGTAAAGCACCTGTCTAGCATGCACAAGGGTTTGATTCCCAGCACTATAATAAGTAAGTAAACAAAGTTTCCACATACTACTTTAGTCTACAAAATACATTCATGAGTATTAGCTCGTCCTTTTCACAGCATATTGAAGCAAGCCCTTATTTATTTCTCATTTGGAAAACTAAACCCACAGGAAGCTGAATTTCCCAAGAGTGTGCATCTAAGTGACAGAACTGGATGTAAACCCAGGTCTTTGAAACCATTACAGCTGTTTGATTTACACTGGCCTGGGACACTTTCATAAAAAGGGAAGAGAAAACTGTTCAACAATTTAGGCGTCTCACATAGTGTCCAGACTGAGTATGCTTGATTGCTCAGTTTTACTTTCCTTATTTCCAACTTTAGTATTTCAGGAAAATAACAATAAAATATACAGAAGGAAAATTCAGCCAAACCCGATTACTTTCTGTATTGGCCAATTAATCCCAAAGACCACTTTTCTCCTTACATTAAGCCCTTTGTATTTAACTTCTTTATAACAGCTGAATATATTTCATTTCAATATTAGGTCTTGAAAAGACAAATTCATATAAAATAAATAAAACAACTTATAAAATAATTATAAAATAATTTATAGTATAGAAGTATATCAGACAGAGATTACTTGAATTCTCTGAAGACATTCTTTAATGTCTAATACACATAATAATAAATTGTGAGTCACAATTATGAGGGGGGAAAAGGGCTAGTACTATTTATTATTACAGTAAATTGATTTTTGTAAACAAGTACTTAAATAAAAACTACTAAGGCACAATTTTCTTAAGTAAACAGAGCAGCCATCAGCAAATAATATTCAAGAATTCCACACTAGAAAAAAAGCCAGGATACTGGCCAAGTAGGTTAAGAAAGACAATTCTCTGATACTGTCTACATTCAGTCTGAGGCATATACATAGCAACTTATGCTTCTATTTTTCAATATTCCTGGGCATCCTTTTTCTCTCTCAAACAGCTAAAAGGGACCAATCATAGAAATAAAAACATCCTCAAAGTTCAAAAGTCCAAAAGAGGTCAGTATCTTCAAAGAAATAAATAATGTAAGGATTCAGGACTCCTTTGAACCTAACATTTTAAACACAACCCAGATTTGAAATTATGTTTTTATTCTGGGGCTGCTCACTGGCCTCCAATACATCGATCTTATAACTCTGTGAACTGTAGTGACAGACAGGTACCTGCTTCTGAACACAACAGAATTTTCCTAAGGTTACATATATTGTGAGAAAAGAAGTATTTTTGCCAAATCTTAGTTTCACTAATCAACTAATTTGGATATTCTACCAGTGCAAACATTATGAAGAAAGATACTTTCATTATCTTGAACTTTCTGAAGTCACCTAAAGACATATGGTACAATGGCAACAAACACTGGACAGGCAGAACTGAATCCTGGTCAAAATTCTGCTACTGGCTTGTCTCACTTTAGTCATGTATTACTTAGGAAGAAACTGAGGTGCCAGGACATTTTACATACAGCAAAACATTCTAAGGAACTGCCATATCATTATCATAAGCCAAAAATCTTGAGGTCTTATTAGAACAGACTGGCCTTCTGATCAAATTGTAGTTAAAAAAAAGGAAAAAATGTGAAGCATGCTATTTTAAGTAACAACTACTCATGAAGCTACCAATTCTAAAAATTTACTGAGCACTTGCTATGTGCTAAGCACTGTGCTAAATACTGTCATAGATTTGAAGACTTAATCTACAACACTCTGGGGCTAAGAAGAACCCTCAAAAGAAATTTAAAAAATTTTTAAATCAAAATAAAAACAAATTATTGAAGAAATCTTACCTTTTCCTCTGCCTTTCAGACTATATTTCTGAGTATCAAATTTATACTGACATTTATTGTCAAGAATTTGTCTTCCAATTAAAGGGTACAGATATTCAATAGGTTGGCAATTATTACAGAAGAATTACAGAACTCTGAACTTAAACACTGATACAAAAAAAAAAGTTCCATCCAACTTTAACTACTGAGTAACTCTCCGCTTTGGGAAAAAGGAGAGGAAGTAGGGAGAAGGAAGAATAGCGTATTTATCAGGCCTGACAATTAGACTTCTAATGCCCACACTAGCAAGGAATGATGCTGTAATTAAAAAGTGAATTATTTAACCACATACACAAAAATTACTTACAACTGCTAAGTCGTTTTGAATGTTATTTTACACGTAAATCTTATAGCACGTAGCTGACAGAAATCACAAATCTACCGTAAACTAAATCACTAGATTGTCTCTGAACATTCGCTTTAGAATTTCATCAGAATAATCATTTTATTATTAATCAAACTTTACTTAGCAGAAAGTTCTTAGAGGATTGGGAAGCTGTGTATAAAATGGAGTAGACAAGAAGGAAGGGTTCCCGGTGCTGTTGAAATCAACTACAGGCCCCAGGATGCAATGCTCTAATCTCAAGTTAAGCAAAAAAAAAAAAAAAAATGCAGTGCATCCTGGGATTTGTAGTAAGTAAACCACTTCAAAGCAAGTTTGAAGAGAGTCTTAACTATGTAGCACAATTTGACTAGATTTACTATCAAGGTCAAGGCAAATTTAGATCTAATATGTTTATTCTCTGCTATGGCACACAGTTGCTTAGCATACACTGGAAAAAGTACTGTTATTAATTTTCACATTAGAAAAACTTTAGCTTGAAAAAGAATAAAAATACTTTAAAAGCAAAAAGATTTGATATGATGGAACCATAATTTTTCAAACTTATTAATTTTCACATTAGAAAAACTTTAGCTAGAAAAAGAATAAAAATACTTTAAAACCAAAAAGATTTGATACTATGAAACCATAATTTTTCAAACTTTTTAAGTCTAGTTGTATCAGTTTCAACACTCTATCCTCCTTCCCCCAAAAAAGTTGTTTTGTTTTGTTTGTTTTTAGCACCAGGATGGAACTCAAGACCTTGCGCTTACAAGGCAGGCACGGTGCCACTGAGCTAAATCCCCCCACCCCCACCCCCACCCCCGCAAAAAAGTTTTAACCAGGTCTTCTTTTAACAGTTAGCCAAGATATATTTTCTAATTTTTCTTGATGAAAATTCTCACAAGCAAATACTTCCCATTCTCTAATACTGCCCACTAGGAAATATATTCTTATAGTAATACATACACACACAAGCACCAAAGAAAGAATACTGAAGATTCTCGTCTATCAAATCCTTAATATTTATACCTTCACTCTTCAAGGTTAATTCCCTACACATGGACACACACTTGCTTCTGGAAAGAACACTTACAGAAAAAATTTTCCATCTACAGGCCTCTTTCATTCAGTAACCTCTTCTGAAAACACCAAAAGAGTTCTAAGCTATTAATAACATGTCCAAAGCCAAGCTGATAAGTTTGAGCTGTAATTTATGTACATTTCAGTTCCTACACACACCTCTGTTTTCTGCAAGACTCTTGAAAGGAGGCTGGGAAAGAACTAAGTGCAATCTGCATTAGGAGGCCTAACACAGGTGGTGGGTTATTTTCAGGCAACAGCACCTTCACAAACATGCTGTGGAATATAGTCCAAGAAATTCCTAACAAGGAAAGATAAGCTGGCACACAAATTTAACATAACCCAGCTAAAAATCACCTGCAACACATGCTACTACATTTCACCATAAAAGTGACAGGCTACTAAAGGATCTGAAGCTTCATCAATACAACATACTGTCCATAAGGCCAGAGATAGCAGTTGCCATGGTTACTCTCACCCACTTTTATCAGGAAATTATTGTCATTATCCTTAAGTTTTGGATACTCATTAAAAAAAAAAAAAGCAGGTTTGGGTTCTGACTGTTAATTGAGTGAAAGAATCAACTACTGTTTGATTTGTAAGTATGTCGCTTTAGAGATCCACATGGTTAACAATACTTGGATCTGCAGCAGAAAAAAATCAATTCCTTTCTGCTGCTCCTTCTCTTCAAGTACTGACAGTTTGTATTCTCAATGCAGCCAAAACAATAAAACAAAACCCATCTTTTTGGCTTCTGTGTTTAAGTTATGTTTTTCCCCCAGGCCCACAAACCAAGTCAAAATAAAGCCCAGATCAGCAACCTACTAGATCTCATTCCCTTCCTAACTCCACATTACTGGTTCACTTTCTTGTTTACTTTTATTTTATTGTGTACTGTTTTGTTGAGACAGGGTCTATGTTGTCCAGGTTGGCCTCAATCTCCTGGGCCCTATAGGTCCTCCTACCTCAGCCTGGATTACAGGCATGCACCCCCCTACCAGCTTCTTACCTACTTTAAAAAACAGAAAACATTTCCATGACTGATTCTAAGATATGAGAAAGAAGTTTCCTTCAACTGAGTCTGCTCACAAACTCTTTTTATTTTTTTTAAAAAGGTAGGAGAGACTTGTAGAGTGTTAGAGGGGAAGAAGTAGCCCAGTATTCAAAATGCTATCCAAGAGGGCCGGGGATTTAGCTCAGTGGTTTCGCCGGCTGGTGCGCAAGCGCAAGGACCCTCAATCCCCGGTACCAAAAATACCCCCCAAAAACCCAAAAAACAAAATGCTATCCAAGACTCTAGGGTAAGAAAGTTGCTTTAAAACAAAAGCCCCAAGGACAACTGAACCTCACAGACAATCTCTACAAGGGAAGAGCTCACCACTACCCCAGAGTAAGATGAATAGGTAGTCAAGTAATAGTAAAGTTATTCTTTAAAGTTTATTCCACCTTCTCAAAAAAAGGTCAGTATTCAAAAATTTAATACATCAATTCATAAGAATTATATGAAAGCCTACAAAAAGGTATGGCCATATATATATATACACACACACACACACAAACATACAAAGAAGAAAACACATGCTCTTTAGGAAATAATAATCTACAATAAATGTAATGCAATTTACATATTACTGCTTTAAAAAAATTCAAAGCAGCAAAAATATTCACCTGGTAAAGTTAATGTGATCAAAATGTATTGCTATGCTCCTAAATAGAATACTTAGGCCTATTGAAAAAGTCCATGTATAAAAATTCCTGAGAAGTCAACATAAATTATTAATATTTCCGAGCACAAAATAATATGAAAATTCAAACGTTTCAAGAAATCACTTCTGATTATAAATGTAAAGGAATTCTGTCAAAGTTCAGAGACCTAAAACTTTAATCTCTTCTATTCTCTTTCTGAATAGTAATTAAATACAAAAGCCCTCCGCAATACAATACTAAGGATACATAATTTAAAAGTGCATTAATATAACTTCAACTTCATATTTCTTCACAAAAACCTTTAGTATTCACTGTCTATGGCATAAAAAGTCAGCATCACCCCGAGGTTTCATTTTTGTCTAAACAGTTAAATGTTTTTCTCACCCTTCATAGAATCAAGTTTCTGTATTTACTTTCTAACTGAGGCTATTTCATAAAGTACAGTCACTTATAAGATTTAAGATACTAGATATTCACAAACACAACGATTATCAATTTAATGGGGTGCTTTTTGTTGCTGTTTTTAATTTTCTATTCCAAATTTGTGAGCAGAGTCATGAAGAGAGCCACAACTTAAGACTTTAAACTTTGGGGTTATTTTTACACAAAAATATTTCAGTGTACTCCTCTAGATTTGAGTAGTCATTTCCTCATGCATCCTTCTAAAATAGAAAACAAAAATGATATACACATCTACCTAATACTAATGCATACAGATGTACATATTTTCACCATGAAACAAACTTGAAAGCTTTAGTCCGTAAGAATTTTTTCATAAAGTTAGCAGAGTCAATCAAAATAATCACAACTTTAGCCCTGGCATCTGTTAACTCCATGTATTAGTAAGAGTCTACAGAATAGTCCAGGAACTTAAATATTCACTACAATCAACTACTATCACATCAATGGAGAAGGGAAGAAAAACTTTAATAGTGGACATACGTTTCACAAGATCTTCAAAAGGAAAAATAATATTTGAATTATGGGAAACTGCCTAAGCAGCATTTTTTAAACAAAGCTTCAAAACTGTAACAAAGAGATTTTTGGTAACCACAGCAGTATTTAAAAAACAAAAATTGGGCTAGGGATTTAGCTCAGTGGTTCCACCGCCTGGCTCGCAAGCGCAAGGTCCAGAGTTCGATTCCCGGTACCAAAAAAAAAAAAGAAAAAAAAATTCATGAGATGTCCAGGGTGCACTTTCAACGCATTAATTTTCCAACTGATATGAAAAGAGTTAGCATTTTAAGACAGAAGCTCTGTTCATGTATTAATTGGTTATCTAGCTCAACAACTTAATATTTGCATGGGTCTAGCAATTTACAAAGAACTTTCACATGTATTACCTAATAAGATTTTACTGAGAGAAAAGTACAGTATTATGCCTATCAGAGGCACAAAATTTAAAGCAGGTTCATCAAATTTTCCATACATTTCTAAGTCTTTAAAACTTTGATATAAAACTTCACAAGCAGCCACAGTAGCATAATATGTCCAATAATAATCAACTCACCTAATACTAACAGTTTCAAAGGACCATGTGCATATATGGTATGAAACTGTTAAAATACTTTTATCTTTATGCAGTTATCGCTAAGTGTTACTAATGGACGGACATATCAGCAATGATCTGTATCTACAGATATAACTTTACTTATAGTTCAAGAATCTCAGTCTTTGGAGGCCAAACAAAATATATTAATCACATGTATTTATAAAACTGACTGCCTTAAGAAGACCATAGATTCGGGGGATGAGGGAAGAAGACCCTCCCAAAAAAGTGTAAAGTTTTTCCACACAAGAGTTCTCTTGCCAAACTTTCAACTACTCTATATCCTATGTGTATTAATATTACAGGGATAACCACAAAGCTTAAAGTCTCACATCATACCAACTAGTTCAGTTTACTGCAACTGCACATTTTTTAAAAATATGTGTTCAACACCCCACTTCAGCAATACAAGACTAACTCCTTTCTCAAAAGAAAATAACTCTTAACAGCCTTCTACACCTAACCCCAGCATCCTTAAGCTATCTGCAATAAAAAATCAACTTTGCAGAGTATCATAAGCAAGTAAAAAGCAAAAGTAATTTATTAATGTTACTCTTTAATGGACTTACTCAAATTTTTTCTAGAACTTTAAGGTGTTAATCCTGTTGCTTAGCTGAAGCTAAGTAGTTTCAGTAAGTGGCAAGACCCTCAAAATTCAAAAATGTCCTTTGTCTTGCTGTAGCACCTCCTGCTGGATTACCATTTAGAGATGTCCATGTAAGCAGAAGATGAGTATTTGTGAGGCAGCTCCCCCTCTCAGGTAATTGAATGGAACAAGGAAGGGCCCTTCAAAGCGAAAAGTGCCCATCCATCATGTATACCTCTTAAAAATAAATTACAGTACAGACAGGTGTCTTTTTAATCTATTACTACAGTATTCCAGTTCCATAGACTTGCCTGAGTCTCAAGTGCAACATTCTTTATAATAAACCTTGCAAAACTATCTAAAAACTTACTTACAATGCCTTCAAAAGCACTCAAGCAAAAGACTTTATTATGGGCAGCCCACAATGCCAGTCAAGCTGTAAATACGTTATCTAAAGCAAAAGTCTGATTTTAAAAAAGCACCTAAAATATTAATATTTGTGTTTTAAGAATTTCCTGCATTATTACTATGTTCTTCACTTAAAGATAGTTGCACATTTACAAAAGTCTTAAGCACAAATTAAAAAAAAAATGAGTGTAAATTGTGCACAAAAATTTCCTCTTTGCCATCAAAAGCTACATTCCGGTATTTTAAAATGCATTCTTCAGACATTTTACATGGCTCCTAATAAGCCAGTGTTAAGCCCACGACACAGATTTCACACACAAGTGAAGACTTAAGAAGAGAAAAAGAAAGAACTTACCGAAATTAACATGAATAATAGTATTTCCAGTAAAAATGTAGTAATGGTTTCCTACAAGGCTGTAAACCAAGTAAATTGTGAAACTGAAAAAAGAGAGGGGACTAGCTTTCAAAAACCGAAGAAAAGCTGACCTATTTATTTCTACTGCCCAAACGTGAGTGAACAGCAAATGTAAACAAACAGCATAAGCACTGAAAAGCATGCTTACACATCTCAGCCTCAGTTTCGGTCCCCTTTACCTCAATAAAGCTGCAGATGTTGGTGTTGATGAGTAGCCTCTCTGAAAGGCTATATCTGAGCTCCTCGACTTAAGGAACCCCTTACAAAGTATGCCTATGAAAAGCCTTTCTTCCTAGAGTGCACAACTGTTTTGAAAAAAAAAAAACACAACTTTCATCAGCCCAAATTAATCTGATTCTAATATTCAGCTATCAATTATTAATATACAAATGTTCTTCCCTCTCTAACTTCCCCAAGCATCTATATTCCTGACACCTACCATTCAGAAAAATGCACGACTCCACTAGCAACCCAGCTATGGGGCAAATCTTTGAAATCCGAAACACAGCCACAAAGTTCACTGTCAAGGCCAGAGCTGAGGCCCACACACGTCCGGACCTTCACTCACATCCGAAATTCTAGAAACCCATACTCCTAGACTTCATTTAAAAACAACACAATGTGGACGTGCAGTGTGAGATCCTCTACTTCAAGACCTAAACAAAGAATATTTCAACATATGACCGGAATATGATGACACCGGATTCACCAATGAAAACAAAACCTGCCTACCATTTAGCAGTCCTTACCCTCATCTCAACAACTCAACTACTTAGAAATCACTCTACACCCACAACCGGCGTGTGGCCTCCTCCCGGGGTTCAAGCCACACAGACAAAGTTGAAAAGGAGACATTCTCCGCCCGGTGCCCAATCTCGAGACCAACCCCTCCCCTGCCAGGGCCACCTTGCTGCTGCTACCCACCATCGCGAACGTGGTCAGGGAAAAAGAGACAGAAAGAGAGAGAGAGAGAGAGAGAGAGAGAGAGAGAGAGAGAGAGAGGAGAGAGAGAAGAGAGAGAGAAATCCTAAGAGCACCGCTCAGCAGAATAAAGAGCCCCGAGAGCGAGGATGACGAGAAGTGTAGGGAACTGCGTGCACGGCGGGGCTGGACCAAACGGAAAGAGTCCCACTCCGCGCGCCCCTCCCCCCGGCGGGGGCGCGGGCGGGGGAGGGGCGGCTGTGGCCCCTTTCGGAGCGGCCTGGGAGCCCCCGGCCCGCACTGGGGTCCTGGGGCGCCCCGGGGGCTGCGGGCAGCACAGGCGACTGCGGGAGGCCCGGCCCCGGGGTGAGGGGTGCAGGCAGACTCTCCGGAATAACAAGTTGCAGAAGAAGAAGAATAAGCGGAATTTCCCCAACGCTGCTCCGGCCACCCAAGACAAATGCACCAACACACACACACACACACACTCACTCGGGCTCGGCGGGCGTCAGCAGCTGCAGCTTTTTTTTTTAACCAGATCCCTCAGTCATCAAACAAGATGGTTTTCCAAAAAAAAATTTTTTTTAATTAAATAAATAACCATAATAAAAACTTCCCCCCGACAGCATCCCGGGGTGTGTGCGGGGAGAAGGTGGAAGAGCCAGGCAACCATCCCTGGGCCGAGGAAGAGCGGATTGGGGAAGGGGGCAGCCCAGGCCCCTCGCCCCCGCCCCCCCGCCGGGACAATGTGTCGCCCTCTCCCCGCCACCCCCGGCGCGCTGCCTCTGTCACCCGCTCCGGCCCGCACTCAGCAGCGCCCAGGCTCCCGAGGCAGCTCATAAACTTACTTCCAATCTATCCTGGGGAGGGGTGCAGGGCAGAGGGGCGGAAGAGGGGGGAGACAAGGTTTTCCCATTGTCTTTTTTTCGGGGGGGGGAGAGGAGGAATAGGAAGGGCACGCAGGGGGGCGCCCCGAAGGGGAAGTTATTGCTCAAATCTCAAGTTAACTGAGGGGTCCTGGCGAGAACACCCCCCTTTCCCTCCTCCCTCCCACACACCCCTCCCCTCCCCCTCCCTCCCCCATCACAAACTCCAAGCAGGCAGCCCCTGATCCTCCCAGAGACAAACACCAGAGACGAGACAGAGGGGGAGAGAGGGAGAGCAGAGGGGGAAGGGGAGGGAGGGGAAATAGAGCTACTCAAGAAAAAAAGAGAGGAGAGTGAGAAGGGAGAATGGAAAAGCTGGGATACTGCACCCTCCTGCTGCTGGCTGGCTGTCCCCCCTGGCAGCTGGAGGCAGGAACTCTGAGCAGGAGAAGCAGGAGGAGGAGGAGGAGGGAACTCTTCTTCATGGGGAGGGAGGGAGGGAAGACGCCGGGGCTGCTGCCGCTTCTGCTGCTGCTCTGGGCCTCTCGCACTTTTTAGATATTAGTGTGTTAAGATGGTAGGTTGTTCCCTGCTCCCTCCTCCTCCTCCTCCTCCTCTTGCTCTCCCTCTCTCTCCCTCTCTCTCT